CATGGGCTGTGACCGGAGTCCTGGGGAGCCATGCTGAAGTTACTCAATTAAGGTGAACTGCAAAGAAAGGGGCAGGTAATCCCCAAAGCTGGTGAATATTCCAATACTTAGATTTACCAAGCCAGCACAAAACAGCTTCTATAATACCTCACTGGTTACCCAGAAGCCAACAACACAGTGGTATGATCGGCGGTGCCGATGGCGTCGACACCTGCTATCGCTGCGGCTGGACGAGGAGCATCAACGCTTTCTGTCCCGGCCCCTGTAGGCCGAGGAAGACGTTGGCGACTCACTCCCAGGCGACCCCGACAACGGAGTGGAGGTCTGACGCGGGCTACGGGAAGGCCCCACGGATCGAGCAGGGACCTCAACCTCTGACCTGGCCAGTGAGGGCTGGTGGGCACCCAACGGCGGCTTCCTTCGGGACTGGGGCCCCAACTCAGGTGGCCCGCTCAGAACCGGCATGACGAGGATGTCGTGCGCTGCCTGAGCTGCTTCTGGCGTCGATGGAATCCTCATCGTCGGGGAGGCGCGAGTGGACGGGGTCGGACTACTCTGCACCACGCGAGTCTGGTCCCGAGGGGGATCGTAGGCTGCCCCACTCGGGTCCGGCCTCACCCCTGTCCTTGTCTCGGCACCACTGGGTCTTGCCCTGTTTTTTGGCAGGGGAGCGGTGCCGACTGGTGGATGGGGCTTCGCCCGGTGTCTGGCACCGGGTCAGGTTGGCGCACCGGTGCTGGTGCCGGTTCCATAAGCAGGGCCCGGAGTCGGATCTCACATTCGCGCTTAGTCCAGGGCTTGAAGGACTTACAGATTTTACAGCGCTCACTTATGTGAGCCTCGCCCAGACAGCGAAGACACTCGGAGTGTGGATCACTTCTGGGCATGGAATTGTGACAGGAGTTACACAACTTCAAGCCTGGGGCTCGGGGCATGCCCCGAACCAGGCCACTAACTGTAGAAACTACTAACTGTTGAAGATCGTACCACTAAGGAAAGACGCTGCAGCAATGCTGGAGCACAAGTTCCGACTACCTTCACTGGCGGCAAGAAGGAACTGAGGGTGGGGGAAGTGCGCAGCCCGCTTTATGGCACGATATAGAGGCGCCACTTCAGGGGTCGCAGCGGGGCTCCCCCAGTATGGGTACTGCTAAGGGAAAAACTTCCAGCACCGGTGCACGTGGCGAGCATGCACACCTACTGTGGAATATACCTGAGCAACACATCTCGAAGAACACCAGTTATGGAACAGGGAACTGTCCTTTCCCTTAAAGCAACCCAGCCTCAAACCTGCACCCAGACACCCAAGTCAAATATGATGAGGATTACTGAAAATCTTATTCATCATATAAAAAAGTTCTACCAATCCCAAAGGATTGGACACATTACCTCCCAGGTTAATGAATATTTCAGATCTACCTAAATATACGCTTACAGCCAATTCTTATTAACTAAACTAAAATTTGTTAAAAAAGAAAAGAATGAGTATTGGTTAAAAGATCAATATACGTACAGACATGAGTACAGTTCTGAGATCAGATTCATAGTATAGATGGTGAGTTTTGTATTTGCAAAGAGTTCTTTCAGAATTAGTCCATAGGTTATAGTCCAATGTTCATATTCAGCGTGATCCAGATTAGGACTGGAGAGCCCAGCCTTATGGCTTAAACTTCCCCTTCATAAAGCATCAAACACATCTGAGATAAAAAGGATCAGGACCCAAAGGGTTTTTATACAGGTTCCGGGTCTTCTTTGACAGCTCGGAGTCCTTAGGCGAACAATAGGCAATTATGGGGCCTTTGAAGTAGACCTATTTCCTAAGCATCACTGGTAATTAGATACACGGATTATCATAAGGCAATTGCCCATTTTCCACCCTGAGATGAATACAGTGATATCACTATGTTTACAGTTCATTTAAATGTTAATATTTCCCTTTGAACTGTTTACATGGCTAACATCTAACAAGATATGAGTACACACATACAATTAGTATCACCTCTAATTTCTAACAATTGTGACAGACCCAGACCAGTGGGGTACAGGAGTCTGTTAGAGGGCAAATATACTGGTCACTGGATGAGTAGTTTTCTGTTCCCTGAGTGACCAGAGCAGGGGCTACACTAGAGTAATCAGGAACCTGCTAGAACCAGTTAAGGCAGGCAGGCTAATTAGGACAGCTGGAGCCAATTAAGAAGAAGCTGCTAGAATCAATTAAGGCAGGCTAATCAGGGCACCTGGGTTTTAAAAGGAGCTCACTTCAGTTTGTGGTGCGAGTGTGAGGAACTGGGAGCAAGAGGTGCAAGGAGCTGAGAGTGAGAGGGTGTGCTGCTGGAGGACTGAGGAGCACAAGCGTTATCAGACACCAGGAGGAAGGTCCTGTGGTGAGAATAAGGAAGGTGTTTGGAGGAGGCCATGGGGAAGTAGCCCAGGGAGTTGTAGCTGTCATGCAGCTGTTACAGGAGGCACTTTAGACAGCTGCAGTCCACAGGGCCCTGGGTTGGAACCCGGAGTAGAGGGCGGGCCTGGGTTCCCCCCAAACCTCCCAATTGACCTGGACTGTGGGTTCTTCCAGAGGGGAAGGTCTCTGGGCTGTTCCCCAACCCACATGGTGAATCTCTGCGGCAAGAAAATCCACCAATAAGCGCAGGACCCACCAAGATAGAGGAGGAACTTTGTCACACAATATAGGTTTGCATTTCAAAGTTCTAGCCTATCTACCAGGGAATGGCCCTAATTACCATTTGCATACTTCTCTATATGTCTCTAAAGGTTGGCTCTGGATCATTTAGCCTGTGAGCTGCTTAACCCTTTCTGGCCATGCGTTACGCTTTGTATAAGATTCGTTGCAATTATATAACAGTGGTAGCAACAATGATTTGCATTATTATACTCTAATCAGATAATGTCACATGGGTGTCAGTCCACACTTTTGCAGAACATTATGCGGTAACTGGGGACTCCTCCTCTAATGCCACCTTCAGCTCCATAGTACTGTCATCTGTAACTGACCCAACTCTGAAGTTCCAGCCCTCCAGAAAGGGTACTGCTTTGGAGTCACCTACAGTGGAACACCCATAGGGACACTACTTGAAGAAGAAGTAGTAGTTACTCACCTGTGCAGTAATGATAGTTCTTTGAGATGTATACCCCTGGGGGTGCTCCATAACCCACCCTCCTCCCCTCTACTTCAGAGTTCTTGTCAATGATCACGGTAGAGAAGGAACTGAGGGGGGTTAGCCCACGCATGCTGACTCGCCTCATAGCACAGCACGAGGAGAAACAGCACGTCTGGGCCCAATAGACACTGCTACCAAAGTTCTCTGATCAGCAGTGCAGGGACGCAAGCACACCCATAGTGGAGCACCCGTAGGGACACACATCTCAAAGCATCATTGTTACTGCACAAAGTGAGTAACTTCTTCTTTTACGTTTATGGTGAATGTACAGTTTAACAGGAAATTTCTTGCCTTACGTATACGGGTATCGTTGTGTTGGGCTGTTCCACCCCAAAGACGACTGTATGTGCTGCATAAAAGCTAGAAATTTAAAGGGTGCTGTATTGGTCCCCAAGCCAGAGCAGGACTGTGGAGAGTTCCTAAGGAATGCTGTAACTCACTAACACCAATGGTAGTTGGGGTGCTCCGTGTTTAGTCACATGGTTATGGGAATGGAAAGCATTCCATAGAAACAGAAGCTGCTTAATGGTCTAGCATTAACATCTGACTAAAGTTGTTTCTATGAGCTACATTCACAGTGCTATGTGCTTTCAAGGCACTGTCCACAACTAAACTGCACACCGAGTGAGAAGGATAATCTAGTGGATGGAATTTAGGAGACCTGGGTTCAATTACCGGTGCAGCCACAGACTCCCTTTGTGTCCTTGGGCAAGTCATTTAGTCTCTCTGCCCCACAGGTTCCAATCTGTGAAATAGGGACGATGCTTCCCTTCCTCACAAGGGAGCTGTGGAGATCACACCCATTAATGGCTGGGAAGTGCTCAGGGATTGTGGTGAGAAGGGCCATATATAGACATAAAGCAGGGGTGGCCAACCTGAGCCTGAGCAGGAGCCCGAATTTACCAATGTACATTGCCAAAGAGCCACAGTAATACGTCAGCAGCCCCTCATCAGCCCCTCCCTCCCCCCCCCGCTCCCAGCGCCTCCCACCCGGCAGCCGATCAGCACCTCCCCCTCCCTCCCCGTGTCTCTGGGATGGACAGGGGAGGAGCAAGGGTGCAGCAGGCTCAGGGGAGGGGGCAGGAAGGGCCGGGGGCCTTGGGGTAAGAGGTGGAGTGGGGGCAAGGCCTGGGTTTGAGCAGTGGAAAGTTGGCACCTGTAGCTCCAACCTGCAGCTGCAAGGAGCCGCATATTAACTTCTGAAGAGCTGCATGCGACTCCGGAGACATGGATTGGCCACCCCTGACGTAAAGAGACAGACACACATCCTGTGAAGGAGGGAGGTATCTGTGTGCATGCATGTGCACCCTGTTGCTCCCAGCAGAGTTTTATAGTCCTGTTACACTAGCACCTCAGAGTTACGAACACCAGAGTTACAAACTGACCAGTCAACCACACACCACCTTTGGAACCGGAAGTACACAGTCAGGGAGCAGCAGAGACAGAAAATAAAAGCAAACACAGTACAGTGCTGTGTTAAACATAAACTACTAAAAATATAATGGGAAAGTTTAAAAAAAAAAAAGGTTTAGACAAGGTAAGGAAACTGTTTGTGCTGGTTTCATTTAAATCAAGATAGTTAAAAGCAGCATTTTTCTTCTGCATAATAAAGTTTCAAAGCTGTATTAAGTTAATGTTCAGTTGTCAACTATTGAAAGAACAACTGTAATGTTTTGTTGAGAATTATGAACATTTCAGAGTTACGAACTACCTCCATTCCCGAGGTGTGTGTAGCTCTGAGGTTCTAATGTAATGTTGAAAGCTGGCCAGTGGGAGCTCAGAGCTAACAAGGATAGTAAGACTCTCTCTTTGAATCTTCAGGAAAGACACAGATGAAGCAGACCTGGTCCTAGCAAAGGAAGCCAATGTGAAATGCCCGCAGATTGTGATAGCGTTTTATGAGGAGAGACTGACCTGGCACGCGTATCCAGAGGACACGGAAAACAAAGAGAGAGAAGCAGCGAAAAGCTAAAGCGCCATCCTTAGCTGTACATACACATCCCCCCGACCTGACCACATCCATTGAAATGTGCTTATTACTGTGCTCCCAGGAGAAACCTTGTTATTGGTTCAGTCATAACATAAATGGTTTGCTTCATGTTCAGCTTCATCTCTAGTGAAACCCACAAGATTTATGTGCTGTGTGTCCTGTCTCCTCCTCCCCCGCCCTCCAGAAAACGGTTTTGACTTGTCACGTCCTCTTAGAGCCTCCAGGGGTTTATAGACTTGTTGGTTCCCTTTGGTTCGGTCCCTTTTTGCCCCTTTAAATGCCAAGAGTGGCAGCGATGCCCTTTCTAAACAGAACTAATTGGAGTTCCTCTGTCCAGGTACACAAATGGCTGTTGGCTGGGAAAGCGAGAGGAGCTGTCTGCATTTGGGAAGTCCCTCCTGCTAGTGCTACACAGGGCAACATCCTGAGATGGTCAATGTGGCCTTGGTATGCTGGGCCTGTGTGTTGTTGTTATAACTGGTAACGTGCTGTTGGGACTGTGCATCTGGACTCCGTCCCAAGGGACACCCGTTGTCCTGGGTTGTGATGCCTTCCAGTCTGTCTCGTGCCTAGGATGGTTTCCAGGCGAGCTGTGTTCTCTTTGCAAGCCCAGCCTGCATTAGTATTGGTTCCCAGACGCAGAGCGAGCCCCCTTTCTCTAGGAGGAGTCTAATGTGTGGGAGGTGGGGAAAGCAGAGCCTTCTTAACTTTAAATGCGATTGTTTATCCCCTGTCAGGCGCAGGTGGAGGCCTGCCACTGCTTCTGTATGATCTTATGCAGTATGTATGTATACATTCGTTTCTCATTTGGGCTGTGTATTTCCGTAGGTGTGAGTGTATCAGGTGGCCTTGCTTTGTGCCAAGGCGCCTGATCCATTTCAGTCATTGGCTGTTGCTTCAAAGGCCACAAGCATTGTGTTACCAAAGTGGCTTTCCGCTTGAGGGCCTCTCCTCCCCTCCCGCATGAGCTCTGTCTTGGAAACGTGGAGAGCTGATCTGGTCTGGTGTGCACAGCACTTCTCCCTGGAACATATGCCCCAGGCTCTAGGACCTGCCAGTGGAGCAGAGAGGGCATTGCTGTTTCCCGGGATGAGTGCTCGTTTTGCAAGGCATGGGTATCTGGGACAGTCGCTCTGCTGCCCAAGAGAGCTGGCAGCCGAGTAAGATGGAGCAGAACTGAGCTCCGACAGCATTAGGCACTGCTTTCAGGGTTCCTTTTTCCTTTCCCTCCCTGAGTATGGTGAGGCCAGAGTGGAGAACTGCCCCCTTTTGCTTTCCAGCATCATGTACGCTCTTCATGCTGATCCTATGTACTGTGTAGTTTAGCTGGACTTGGGCTCTCTTGCCTGTGGCGATCTCCTTGCCCGCAGAAACTGACGGATGTCTTAGGCTCCCCCCTACCAATGGTGCAAACAGAGTCCTCCTTGATGACTAGAAGTAATAAAATTACGGTATTGTGGTATTGACACTGGTTTCTGGTTGACTCGTTCCCCGTGCAAAGCTCCTGCGAGAATGAGAGCTAGTTGGTTTTGTGGCCTTCTCTGTAGCTTGGAAAGGCTTATTGCATAAAGTGGAGACCTGCAAGTGGATGAATTGGAAAGGGGTTGTGGGTTCATTCTCTGGAATGAAAATATCATTGTTGCATCCTGACTTTCTTCAATCCAAAGGCCTGGTCCTGTTCTTGTTTATCTTCCCTCATTCCCACCCCTTTGCTACCCTTATTCTCTCCCTTTATAGTGAGCTTGGAAATCTTGAATGGCATTGGGGGATATCTGCAGACTGGGTGCAGAGGGAGTTTTATCAGTGGTGACTCCCTTCCTGGCCCTTGGACTCTGTTAGTTCTGTGCCGTGGGCACAGAGTTTTGCTTGTTCTGATTTTCTAGAGCACGTGACGCAGTTTGTTCTCAGCCTCTTTGTCTGTCTCTCTTCTGAGCACAAGCTCGCTCAGTATAATGTTCGCACTGTTGAATGAATTCTGCTTGCAAGCGGCTCAGGTGCTGTGGGGGAAATCCAGGCACCCTAGAAATCAATGGCAGAGCTCTGATTGACTTCCGTGGGACCCGGATTTCACTCTGTCTCTCTAACATGACTTCTAGTTGAGCGCATATCACTAAATGATATTCCCGCTTCACTGACGCAGCTGCTATCGTCTCCCATGCCTTTTGGAGGTGTGTGCCGGCAAAGGGTTAGCATGGCCATTGCTTCAAGCGGCATACTCAATACATCGTTACTTTTGAAAGTTCCCATTGGCAGGGTCAATATTTCTAGTTACATCATCCTGGCTGGTGTTGAGAGTGATCTGAAATAAAAAAAAATCTGCCTTCTGAGCCGCACTGCCAAGCAGGCCAGCGAAGCTGCAGCTGCCAGCACACTGAGTAGAAATGCTGATGTGCCTAATGCTGCACACTTCTTAGATACGCTGGGAAGTGCTCCTGGCCCTGGGACCCTTCCAAGGCTTCTGCTTAGCAGCATTCCTGGCATCTCGGTAGCTGACTTTGCTCATTATTAAGCGCCTGTGGTCTTACAGCCAATAACTGGGGGGCTTGCACAGGTATCTCTGGCACCAGCACAATCCACAGAGATTGAGTGTGTTTTTATGGGGTTATGACACTTTTTAATTTGGTTTGAGTGACCTTGGGCTAGTCAGAGCGAGCTCCCAGAGCCAGGGCATGTGATGATGATGCGTTGGGAGGAGTTTGGGAAGTCCCCGTCATTCTGACTTGGTTAGGATTTGCGTAGGTTTAGGGCTAAGCCTGATGCATCTGTTTTTGGATCTGAGCTGGGTAGCATGGGCTCATTGCGGTGTAGCATGTTATTAAACGTTGATGCTAGTACGTGAATTGCTCTAGTTGGTAGTTGGTACAATAGGTAATGGCAGCAGCTGGCTACCTTCCAACTGCATTAGTTTAGGGCTTCCCCACCTGTAATGTGGGGGGAGGTGGGGATATTGAAGGAAGCTTTTACAGGGCTGGATGCAAGAGCATAGCCTGGCTGCAGTCTGTACCACTTGGTGCGCTGATTTCAGGTATTGGCTCAGGTATAGAAAAGGCTGCTGGCATGTCAACCTGTGGCTGCCGCTTCTTCTCTGGCCCCCATACCCCCAGCATCACAAGCTCCTTGTTCTTCTCTTTCCTCTCCAGCCATTCCAGCAGGCAGACTTGCTGCTGTTGCTTTATCCCTGCCTCTTCATGGATTTCTTTTCTCTGAAGGCAGTCAGCCAGCCTGCCCGTGATTCGCTGGAGTCTTGATTCTTGCCAACTCTGTTCTCCTCTTCCTCTCCCCACAGCCTCCAGCCTCCTACAGACCTCTGCACCAAACTCAGAGGGAGCAAGGCAGCTGCTCTACAGCAGTGCTTCTCAATCGGGTACACGAACCCCTGGGGTATGCAGAGGTCTCCCAGGGGGTAAGTCAACTCGATATTTGCCTGGTTTTACAACAGGCTACATAAAAAGCATTAGCGAAGTCAGTACGAACTAAAATTTCATACAGACAATGTCTTGTTTATACGGCTCTATATACTAGATCCGTGTTTCTCAGCCTGGGTGTGACAGGATGGGTTATGGGGGATTGCAAGTGCAGGGCCGGCATTACAGGGGGTGGCAAGCAGGAGAGCTGCGAAACAGACATGCTGAAGCCAAAGCATGAGTCCCGCCACCTGGGGCTGAAAGCAGACCTTTGGAAGGGGTACAGTAGTCTGGAAAGGTTGAGAACCACTGCAGGAGTGGCAAGTTAAGATGGCTTAATGCTCTTTCTGTGCCTCACTGTCTGCTGCAGATGGGAGTGGATAAATGCGTGGGAGTGGATGAGCCTGCTGGCGATCTCTGAGCCAGTGTGAAATGCTATAGAACACAGAGCTTGATCTCAGCATGCAGAGGACAGGCACTGTTAGCAGGAGACAGGCCCCTTCCTCCCGCACAGACCGTCACTCTTTGCTTTCTGGAAGCGAATCTTAGTGAAATCCACCATTGATTGTGTTTGTGATCTAAGTTCCCTCTAAGGCCTGGTCTACACTAACCCCCCAATTCGAACTAAGGTACGCAACTTCAGCTACGTGAATAACGTAGCTGAAGTTCGAAGTACCTTAGTTCGAACTTACCTCGGTCCAGACGCGGCAGGCAGGCTCCCCCGTCGACTTCGCGGTACTCCTCTCGCAGAGCTGGAGTACCGCAGTCGACGGCAAGCACTTCCGGGTTCGACTTATCTCGTCCAGACAAGACGCGATAAGTCGAACCCAGAAGTTCGATTTGCTTGCCGCCGAACTACCAGGTAGTGTAGACCTACCCTAAGCTGCGTGGCTGTGCAGCAGCCTATTAAGCGCCATGCAGGTGCTCAGGTCTGTGGTGGGGAGAGATGCCTCTCTCCCAGCCCTGGACCTGCTGCGGCACCCCGGCCCAGCCTGGATAGTACCGGGTTTATAATGGTGCCTGACCCATGCTTAGTAGGGGCCTTGTCAGCCGGCTGGCCCAGGATTTTTCTCTCCATCCCTGCCCTCCGTCACCGGCAGGCAGCAGCCATCAGCTGCCTGCCAGTGACGGGGTGGGAGTTGGAAAGGAGCCCACAGCCACTGCCGTTCCTCTGGGCCGCCGGTGAGGGACGGGGAGCCCGAATCGGCAGACCATCACTGGCTGCCCGGATTGCAGACGGACCTGTCGTGGCCCGGGGAGAGGTGCCCCAGCCTAGCCCCCCAGGACCTGCCGTGGACAGGGAAGAGCCAACCCTCCCCTAGCCGCAACCCAGCCCCTCCGACCTGCTGAGGACAGGAAAGAGGTGCCTATCCCGTGGCTCCAGCACCAGAGCTGCTGTGGTGGGGAAAGGCGCCTCTCCCCCCAAGCCCAAGTGCTGCTGCAGGGAGAGAGAGCTGGGGGGAATTCTCTCTCCCTTCATAGTCCAGAGGCAGCCTGCACCCCAAACTCCTCATACCCAGCCCCCACTCCTCGCCCCAGCCCCCTCCTGCACCCCAAACCCTTCATCTCTTGCCCCAGCCAAAGACCTCACACTCAGCCCCAGCCCTGAGCTCCCTCCCACACTCCGAAGCCCTCAGCCCCACCCCCACCACACGAATTTTGTTATATGCACCAATATGGTGCAACATCACCTCCATATTGGTGCACATAACAAAATTCATTCCGCATGTGTGGGAAAAATTAGAGGGAACACTGGTTGTGACCAGAGCTGGTTGCAAATACTTCCCGTGAGCCGGTTGGACTCTCATTTTAGCTGCGCTGCATGTTCTAATAGAAGCAGCAACTTGGCTCTGGATAAAAAGCCTGATCTGAATCA